AAATATTATATAATGTAGCGGATATAAATATTTAAAATACTTTAAATATTTAGTAAAATATTTATAATAGTAAATGAATATTCACTATTTTTAGAAATTTTTTACATATTATTATTTCAACTAATTAAACTTTTTTCTTTATTCAAAAATATATTTTGAAAATTTTAATTCTTAAAAATTTTAATTCTGTATGCATAGATAAACGAATATAAATTCAATGTGCGCAATAATTATTTCACAAATATTAACCATTTTGAACAGTACTCTAATCTGGATTTACTTTTTTATTTTGCAGATCAACTTTGTGCGCGTAATCGGTGCTACAAAATATATTCGTTCCGTCGTATAACAAAATGCGCGTCGGGAGTGCCGTTAATGCCGAGAGTTATAGCGAATCTATAGATGAACGCATTTTTGCTGTATGACAAATATTGGGACACGATTTTTTTTGACTTTAGGCTTGGCTCGAGGGAGGGAAAGGTCGGTTTCAATCATAAAATCTCCACTACGGCAGGGCAATCTTCGGTTCTACGTGCAGCGCGCTAGTTGTACAGATAGCCGGACTGTCGAAGGTAGTCGAGGACGGCTACCGGAGTTAGTCAAACGCTACCGATTGCTTTTCAGATGCCTTGTATCTAGTCGGTTGATTGGATGACTAATCACCTCATCTTCTTCGAGCTTATCTTTGCCTTCTGTTTTTGAGAGAATCGTGCCCCAATTGGTAAATGTGGTCGTCTGAAACGCGGACGGAATTCGCGCGTAACGTCACAGCTTGGACAATTCGGTTCGATTCGCCTGTGATGTCGGGAGTGCCGTTTTAAGTATCGCGCGATTTTCGTATTCAGGTACGCATGCGAGCAATGCATGCGCCGCGAACGCGTGTGATTCAATGTGAGTGCTTCGAAGGACTACTGAGAGGAGGAGGAGGCTCAGGAGGAGCATCGGGCGCCGGCGGAGCAACTTTACGGTAAATAATAATTCATTTATTTGTTGAAAATGTTGTAAATTAAAAGACTTAAAATATTTACATTAGTTAATATTGATTATTATTAGAATTTATTTACATATTTATTACTTTTTATTTTAATAATTAAACTTTTTCAATAATTTTTTTATTCCATATTTGCTTACAAAAAGAATTAAAAGTTCAATGTACTCAATTATGATTTGATAAATATTCATTATGAACGCAACTATAATCTTGACTTATTTTCGTATTTTACAGATCATCAACTATGCAGATCAACAGAATGACAACTCCGCTGCTGCGCATCAATCGGTGAGTGAGTTTATAATTTGTCTTGATTGTTATTAAGATAATGGATCTATAAGATACATATTATAAAATTTAACACATTGTAGATCGTATATGATATTGATTTTATAAAAATTTTAGGTTGCACATTGCAAAATATTTTAAATTTAGTTAGTTTCTAGAAGAACAAATTATTTTTTATCTTGATAAATTTAAATTATATTTTTTGTCACACGCGTTATATATGTATATTAGTAGCATATTGTTCTGTCTGAGGATATGAGAGTGCGGTGTTATTGCATTAACATATCGCTATAACGTTGAGAGTGGCAGATATTTCGACACATAATCAGACGCAAGTTTCATCGAACGTTTCCGTGAAAAGCGCTTCAATTTGTCGTGTCGCGAGTCCGAATCCCAAGTATATGCGTGTTTAGAGCAACTTGAAAATACAACTGCATTAATGTAACAGATACTGCAGTAACAGATACGACACGATACTCTATAAAAACACTCGCTGTTCATTTATATATTTTCACTGTGCAGTAGAGACTGTTCATTTACCCTACACATGCCAGAGAGGTTGCGAATATATTCTGCTAATGGCGTACGTCACAGACAATATACGTTTCGTCGCGTACCTTTTCGCGTCGGAGACGCGTTCGCTTCCCTCTCCATTCGCAGGTTCTCCTTGTGATGAGAACTCTGGCGACAGCGACAAAGTCAGCCATGAGCGCACACTCGTTGATGCCGCGCGTCCTTTCAACGTCATTCTGTAGCTTGCAAAAATAACCCGTCGGCGGTGTGCGCCCATTAATTTTTTGAGAGCGCAAGCGGAAAAATATGGATTTTAAGCGAGAGCCGTCACTTATGTGTACAGCGAAAAGTAACAAGTATCTAAAAATAAACAACATCATTCCTAAAAGCTCCAAACTGTATAATAAAATAAAACTGACTTTTATTTAAAAAAAAAGTTGTTTAGTTTAAAAAAGGAGAAGATTGCTAGCCTTCTGTTATTGCAATCGTATTTAGGAAGCAATTTTGAAAATGCACGCTTACACAGTCAAGACAACATTTTCCACGACACATTACTCGTCGTCAATTTAAAAGTTTACATACTCGCGAAAATATAGTTTCTCAAGTGCAAAAGGTAGCTCTTTTATTTTCAATTTTACTATAATTTAATTGAATTCAATTTTTCGAATTTTCCAGGAATGTTTTATTCGTATAATTTGTGATGTTCGAAGGAACAATTTTCAATAGTATTGTATGCGCATAATCATTCCTTGGATAAAGGAGGAAGAAGTCGCCGCGGTCGCGATGTAAGATGAACAACAAAAATGTCGGACATATTTTTCACGGAAGCAACGTACGCGCTGCTGGAACTTTGTCGATCTGAATTCTCCTCCGCGCAGCGCAGCAAGGAAAAATTTCGATAAGCTGTGCATTGTCGATGCGGCGTTATCGAGACCGGAAAGAATTTTGGGTCGGGCGATTTCCGCAGGGCGATATCGTGTCTCTCTCGCGCGAGCGAGAATCGATAACGGAAATTTGTTTGTTTCGGCGATACGCGGATCGGGAGGTTCGCGCGAATCACCCGTCGTAATAAATTCGACACCACTCTGATTTCTGGAAAGCGGTTGCTACACTTAAATCGCAGCGTTTTAAGCACTTCGTATGCGGCTGGCAAGTACCCGCGCCCCTTCACCGCGCACCACTGCCCAATTAGAGTTGTCTGCAGGCGAAAAAAAAGAGAATCTACCACACCGCACCACATCCTTTACCCGCGGTCCTTCTTGTAAATTTTCGCAGTCCAGCCAGCCAGCCAGCCAGCCATCCGGCGGACGCGCTGTAGGATAAAGGCGCGTGAGTACATTCGTTAGCATAATAATTGCCGCGGAAGCTCCACGCTACGTAAACCCAGCGAGTAAACGGCCTCTGTTAAGAGATACGACGATGAAATACAAAAAGATGTTCGGAGAACTACATCGTTCTCTTTCTTGCTCTCGATTGTTGTTTCGTAAAAACTTTTCTGATATTGTAGATGTTACGTATCGTATGGATACGATTTGTTGTATTGAATGAAGAAATGCTTTGTTTTATGCTCGAATGCTTTTTAATGCTTTAATGCTTGGATTAATCTTACGAAATCTTATGTTACACGTGTCAATCGACCTAAACTAACGCCATCTATCTAAGCGCCTAAAAATATTTATTATTTAGTCCGCGGTTAATACAAATTTGCGACAATATAGTTTTAATAAGAGAAATACATAATATCGCAGAGACTATGCTAACATAAAAAATAATCGTTGTGTATTACTTAACAGTAGAGATTATAAGAAAACGCACAATATCTTTTGCAAGAACTATAACTGAGTTTAATATAAAAATTATAAAATCGAGAAAGAATAAATGCTCGCAACTCACAATCAATACTCTCGTTGTCTCAATCTCGACTCTCACTCATTGATTCTCGCCGCTTGTCCGAAAACAACAATCTTTAGGTGAAGCGCCGAAAACGCTTATAGCTTTTATGTAGAAAGACATTTCAATATATATTTAGACACGGCTTCAAATATTTTCTCATCTGGCAATTATTTCTACTTTCTTTATTTTTATTATTGCTTAGATGCTCTTCATTTTTGACAAGAGTTAAATTTGCATCGTTGACTTAGAAATTCAACGATATTTACAGAATCTGTGAGATAGGAGGATAAAAAAAATAGAGATGTATTTTCTTCTCTCGTCAGATGATCAAAGTGTTTATTAGGTACATTCAGAATTTTAATAAAAAAACTAATTTTTTCGAAAATAGGTTGCCAACTTCACAGAGGTGAGTCCGGGTAACATGCGGCTCGTTCTTTGCAATAGTCGACGAAGCGGCGCCGTTCGCGCGCGGAATGAGAATTGAAATCGCTACTCGATCGACGCGACGACCGGATATTTTTTCCTGCTTTTAAATTGCGATCTTATTGGTAGACAGAATAATTTTACGCGTACAATTAACAGAACGAATAGCATGTTATAAAAGTAACTGTAATTTTTCACCAAAAAATGTACTAACATTTTGATAGATTTTTAATAATATATATGGCATTTTATAAGAATTTAATTCTGATAAATTACTTAAAATTTTTGCATTTTTATTTGAAAAATTTTTTGATTAATTTTAGACAGAAATATTTTGAGATTATTCGTAGCTATAATGAATATCACACACAACTATCAATTTTTGATAATATAAGTAATTTTTGAAAAATTTTGTTCTACAAGAAAGATTAATAAAAATAGTTTTTTTTTTACATTTTTTGAGATAAAATTTTTTACTTACATTTTGGAAAAGAACATCTGAAGTAAAGAAGCAACAAAAAATATTATTCGATGAAGTTTTCGCGACAACAGCATACTTGATATATAGCGCTGCTGTGTAACGCCATGAATTTTCTATCAACATTGTGAATTCTGAAACCCTAACCTTCCCTTGAGATTTGTGGTTTGAAGATAATACCTTTTGAGTTTCTGCACCTTGGAGATTTTAACTTTTGGGAGATTGTGGCTATGAGTATTACGGAACGGTACGAAACCAAGTTGTGAAACAAACAATAATCTTATATAACCAGTTAACGTTATCTATTAATAACAATATTAAGCTTTTAGATGATGGAAGTCTTGGGCTGGTAGATTTGGTGTACTTCAATCTATATTATATATGTTTATCAATTAGAATATCAGTTTAAAAAATATTAAAAAATTTTGCAAAGTTACTATGATCGAGTATGCGCGAACTTACTTTATTATAGTTAAGCATACAGTGAAAACTTAATAAAATCTCCAGCCAATTCACTTTCGCAGCGTAATCTTTTTTTATTATATCAGAGTCACTCTAAAATGTTCTCAGCGTCTTGAAAGCTATATTTTCATTTGTGCCGGGAGATAAGTTATTAGCATCCGCTTTTGCAAGATTCAAACCGGTCGTTCGCCATCTGCGATATCCCACGGCAGTACGGCGCAATTCGTGAAATCGAAAATATCAGCATCGCAAATCTAAGGTCGCGTGCGCTATCTTTCCCTTGGAATTTATCGTTATGGTAACGCAACCTGGAAGCTGCTTGGCGTGAGGCTTCCGGGCCGAGTTCCCGATTTCCGTATCAAATGGCGAACTCTTTCCTGCCGCGCGCTGTGAATTTATGGCCTTTAAGGCGCGGCAATTCGCGATGGCCAGTTCCACTTTCGAATTAGCTACCCCCGGGAAATATCAATCGCCATTATGTTTCACGGTGACGTCGTTAATCGCTGGCCTTTATCCTAGTAAACGACTTATGGATCGCGCATAGGTCGCGTAAACTATTACAGTAATCCGCGATCTGGAGAGCAGAGATGATGTTGGGGAAAAAAACATCGAGTAGGTAGAACTTTTCTGTTATACTGATTAAACTCACAATTTGCCAAATAAATTTTATTTAAATTTTTTAATTGGCGAAAGTAATAGCTCACGTTCCGAAATTAATTGTTTCTGCACAGCTATTTTTTCTAATCTGCTCTAAATGTTGTCACAAGCCTTCGTTATATGTGAAGCGTACGTAGTTCGTCGTCCTATTAAGGAAACATCAATTAAACTCCGTTGTTATCTGTAAAATTCTCTTTTAATCTTCGTGCGGTCATTACACGCGCGTAACGAATATAATTGCGAAACGGACGATTTACTGGTAACGTCGCGGGAAACGATATAAGACAATTTAGATTACACGATGCGCATGATAATGACAGTTTTATTGTTCGCTTAACTAAATAAAACGAAGAGGATGAAGGCGCAGAGGTTATGAGCCCTGAGAAATGCGTCCTTATCCTTACGGAATTGTGCGGATGACAGTGAATTAGGTGTCTTTTGCTACAATAACCCATAAACATTCCTCCTTCCTTGCGTCGCGTATTTATCATCCTGTCCGAGTAATATGCCGCGGGGCGGCCCGTGCGATGCACGTATATTCTCATCGGGTACAGAGATGAATGCACGCTCCGGT